GGGTCCTCAGTGACCCCCGCCCCGCCTCCGTAAGGCCAGGTCAGGTCTGCAATCTCAAATGATGACCCGGCCCGACCCGGAACGTGCCTGACCCGGCCAAACCACGGTGATTCGACTCGGGTCGGACTTTTTTCTCGTGCCTAGGGCCAAAATTCCAGGTCGGGACGGGTGGACCTGACCCAACGTGATCCGACCTGACCCGACCCGACCCGTGTCCCATGCCTAACCTGGGTGTACCTCAGACATCACCCAGCAACGACTAGTACTCCTCATAGTTGAACCAAGTTTGAGAGGCTGGAGATGGAGTTAGGGATTGTTCCACTCAGGTTGTTGTTGCCAAGGGCTCTGACGGGAGACGGGCATGCAAGCGAGGGGAGAAGGGCATGCAAGCAAGGGGAGAAGGGCATGCAAGCGAGGGGAGAACGCCAGGCAAGCGAGGGGAGAAGGGCATGCAAGCGAGGGGAGAATGCCATGCAAGCGAGGGGAGACGGGCATGCAAGCGAGAGGAGAAGGGCATGCAAGCGAGGGGTGAGCGCACACAGGGGAACGGATTGCATGCATAAAGATTGTTGCATTTATGATCAGAAAAGGGAAATGCTTTCTAGTACCATGTTTATCTATATTGCTTTGAAACATAAACTCAACCATGTAGCACCCAGCTCTCCGAAACTTCTGAGAATGAGTGAAGAAGCGAGTAGCATTTGACTTGAGGTACGTGTCTTGCCCTGACCATACTCACAATCATGTCAGGTTGCTCAAGCTTCAAACAATGGGCGGCTATTGAGAAATCTAAGAAGTCACTTACGTGAGATGTCAGGCTACTTATAAAAATCGCGGGTAGAGAGACGGCTTTTAAGGCGCCTCAAAGGTCTACTCACAGCGATGTGAGGCTGGTCATAACTCCAACCGTGGGTGGAATGGATCCCGTCAAGCGATTGCCTTGCAGACTCCTGGCAACGGAAGAAAATATTTGTGTAGCACGTGTTGACAAACAGGCAGGGCACGCAGCGGACGTTCATGTGCTGATGAGAGAACGAGAGGGCAGTCACTCAATTCTGATTGTGCTGGATGGACCAGGGTGGCGAAACCTGGTGAACACACAGATTTATATGTAAGCCTAAGAAAAGGGGTACAATGACTCGTCTGTCAAGTTGAGAGGCTCACAAGGTGAGCAGATTCTGAGGGCTGCTGATTGTTTCTTGTATTGAGCTAGTCAGCCCGTTGTTGTTGAGATATCTGCGCCTCGTATCATAGGAATGTAAATGAATGAACAGGAATCAAAATATCCAAATGCAGGTTGCTGGTTTCCATGTAAAGCTTCTTGCGGTAACAACTAGCTGGCTAAACAAAGTGTACGCCAGCTTGACTGATTGCAATGACTAGCTGGACCAAAGGGTTGAGCCTCGGCTCAGCCCTTTGCCCGAGTCAAGCCAACTATGACATGCATGCAATGTGCAATTGTATTGTGCAATGGGAAGATGGAGATAGGTGTTACGCGCACATTTTGGCATTGGACATTAGATAAGGAACACCGCTATCAGTCGTCCTAACAAACACTCCAATCTAAGTTTTCTTGCTCATACACATTTTGGGGCATATATTTCTTTGAATGGATAGCACAAGGAGCAAAAATTTGCAATATAAGAACAAGCATGCAGGGCGGGTTGTGCAGTGTGGCTGACACGTCAACCCAAGGAGGAATGATGTCAACGGGAGTGTTGTTTGGCCCCGTCCTTAGCTTGGGCGGAGCCGATCTCGTGGTCGGATGTACGGGGGTTGCAGCCGACCTGCAGCAGTGGGCACGGGGGCCACTGCAAGGGCGCCGAGCTGGAGGGCGCCTGGCTGGAGGGCGCCGAGTAGGAGGACGCCGTCTTGGATGGCTGGTTGGCATCCTGGAAGGCCGGACGCCAACCTAGGCGCCTGCACGGCGTCCTAGGAGCCTGGGACGCCATCCTGGGCGTCTGCACGGCGTCCTGGGGTCCCGGACGCCGACCTGGGCGTCCTGGGGGCCCGGACGCCGAGCAGGGCGTCTGGTCGGCGTCCAGGGAGGCTAGACGCCACCCTGGAGGTCTGCACAACGTCCTGGGCGTCTGGACGCCGACCTAGGGGTTCGTACGGTATCCTGGGCGCCTGGACGCCGGGCTGGGGACACCGGGCATGCGTGGCCGGCTACGGACTGCGCTGGCCGGCCAGGCGTGGTTGCCTGGTCAACCGGGATACCCGGGCGACGTGCGCGAGTGTCGCCGGGGTGGAGTGTGCGAGGCCGATCTCGGGGGTGGTATCCCGAGGTCGACGTGGCTGGTAGTCGCAGTCGCTGGCGTGGAGTCTGCCAGGCGTCTGCGCTGTGCTTGTGACAACGTGTGGAGCGCCAACCAGCTGCGCGCACCTGCGAAGCAGGTGCACCATTGTCCTGCGGGTGCAACGCTGTGCAGCCGACTTGCTGCAGCGTTGGCAGACCGTGGACTTGCAACGTTGGCGCATCGCTACTCTGCAACGCTGGAGCGGTGCGAGCGCTGCTGCGCTGGAGCGCAGTCGACCATGCTGCGCTGGAGGTCAACCAGCAGCCTAGCTAGCTCTGATGTAGTCTGTGTTGCCAATGTTGGTGTACCCATTGTTCTGAACTTTTCCTAGTGAAACTCTTGCCAATTCGCCCCGTAAACTAGCAAGAAGTGTCTGCACAAGGAAACAATTAAGGAACAAACAAACGCAGAGATCACACGAGCACCCGTGCGTAGCCTGTAGCCTAGCTCCCGTTGCTGCAGTTATCTCCACAAATGACACTCACAATTGGCAAAGGGCTGAGTTCTTGGTGAGGAAGTCAGGAAGGGGGCCTGTCAGGTTGTTGTAATTCAGATATCTGATAAGGCACAAATGAATGAAAGACATGCATGTGGTGACCAGCAGCAGCAGCAGGCATTTGATTTGTACAAGCCAAGCCTGAGAACATAATGCTTGAAGTTTGAAGATTCCATGAAGGCTGTAAGCTGAGCTCATCGAGCGTGGTATGGCTTCGAGTGGAAACAGATGCAGCAAGCAAGGTGATGCATGGCGGAGAAGGAAGCCCCGTTAAGCGCGGCCATGATATTTAGGGCAACATAATATTTTGTGAAACGAGTGTTGAATAATGAAGGCCTTGTCAACAGAACCATTGATCATCCAAGTACGATGACCAAAATTGCAACAGGAGAAACGAGGAAAGAAGTAAAAACCGCATTTGGATAAACAACCACCTAAAAATAGCAAGAAGAGAACCAACCACATGAAATCGACCAAAAGCATTACCCAAAAAAACAAAAAACAAAAACAAAAAAAAAAAACAAAACAAAAAACACACACACACAACAAATGTAAGAGAATGTGATGCTGAGGACAAAGTAAGTGTGTGAGTCAACTCTCAAAGTCAACATCAAGCAGCTCACTCACACGCCTTCACATGCAAGGAGGTTGCCCAGTGGCGGAATTGGTCCAGTCAGCTTGTTTACTGAGAGTCCTCTGCAATTCGCAGGATAGAAGGGTGATTTGAGCAAGTGGAAGAAAGATAGACTGAGTGAAGCCAATGCGTATGTGAATTGGTTCACACGTGCTCCAAGAGGTGGTTGAGTGGTTCAGAATAAGAGCCATCCATGCATGCTGCATGGGAACAAGCACACGCAGCATCGGACCCATGGAAGCTGAGTCAAGCCAACAGGGTCCAGCCAGGACAACGGATTGCCAGGGTCAAGCCTGAATAAGCCTAGCCGACTTGGCCACGATTTATCCAAACCCAGAGAGGCAGCTTGGCTTGGCAACAGATAAGGCTAGCCGCTGGCTAATGCCACCTACTGGTTGCACTTGTCAATCTATTCCGCAGTATGCAGAACATATGCAACAAATTGCTCATGGCAGAACATGTGCAACACATTACTCATGGCAGAACATGTGCAACAAATTGCTCATGGCAGAACATGTGCAACAAATTGTTCATGGCAGAACATGTGCAAAAAATTGCTCATGGCAAGACATGTGCAACAAATTGCTCATGGCAGAACATGTGCAACACATTGCTCATGGCAGAACATGTGCAACAAATTGCTCATGGCCGAACATGTGCAACACATTGCTCATGGCCGAACATGTGCAACACATTGCTCATGCCCGAACATGTGCAACACGTTGCTCTTACCAGAACATGCATGCGTGAAGGAGCTGCTTGTGGGAATGCGGGGTTGGAAGAGCAAAGGAGATTGATCCATCGCAGTTGATCATTGCTCACATGTCAACCTAGAAACCAAAAAGCACGTACAAGTAAGTTAGCTTTGTGAGTGTGGAAATGTAGTCAGGAATTGAACCCATCATGTTGTTTTTAGATAAATCCTTGATGGGGGCAAATGGAGGATGTGTGTGCATGTGGCACGAAATGAGAAGTGGGGGGGAGAGAGGTGTAACCAAGTGTCCGATAGATGTAACCATTACTGTCTACTACATTGCCCATTACCCCCACTCATGGTACTTCACGATAGACGCTTTCTAAAAGAGGAGGGGAGGAATTATACTAACAGTTGTGACTACAATGAAGCTGTCGCTTGACTCGAACACCCCACAATTCGACCTGCTAAGCCAGAACCTCAAACCAGCCGGCACAACGCACGCTTCGACCCCAACTTGGTTCAGTTTGGTTTGACTAACTGACGGTTCGCGCTCGTTCAAATCGACCTGGTTCGGGTTCGACTTTTCCTCATGCCTACTTACAAGCGAGTGAGGCCCGTGAGCTTCTCGACCGATCGCGGAATTGTGGCCTTCATGCTGTTCTGAGCAACCGGTTGCCACCGTTTTTACACACAGGCATTTCTTTCAAAGAGCGACTAACATTCATGTGCGTTACTTTCCAAAGTTGCTGCCATGTATCAATCTCATGGCACCAACCAAACTGGTGTACTCGGGCTTCATACAAGTGAGCAAGGCCCGTGAGCTTCTCAACAGATTGTGGGATGGGGCCAGTGATGCTGTTATGGGCAAAGTCTCTAGTGAGAGGAAAATGGGAGGTGAGAGGAAAATGGGAGGTGAGAGGAAATGAGGTGAGAGGAAAATAGGAGGTGAGGGGAGAATGGGAGGTGAGCGGAGAATGGGAGGTGAGCGGAGAATGGGAGGTGAGCGGATAATGGGAGGTGAGCGGAGAATGGGAGGTGAGCGGAGAATGGGAGGTGAGCGGAGAATGGGAGGTGAGCGGAGAATGGGAGGTGAGCAGAGAATGGGAGGTGAGCAGAGAATGGGAGGTGCACGGATGGAGCTGCAAGCTGACTGGCACCCGGTGAGCTCACGAACGATAAAGCAACAGCAGGAGAGAATGAACAAGGACAGATGGGAAGCACATTCCATCCAAGAGCACAGCACACAGCTCAAAGGCATGAAGGGGCTCAATCTGAAACGGAGAACAAGTAAGCATGGCACTCACACACATCATGGCACTCACACACGTCATGGCACTCACACACGTCATGGCACTCACACGCGTCATGGCACTCACACGCATCATGGCACTCACACGCGTCATGGCACTCACACGCGTCATGGCACTCACAAGTGTCATGGCACTCACACATGTCATGGCACTCACACGCGTCATGGCACTCACACACGTCATGGCACTCACACACGTCATGGCACTCACACGCGTCATGGCACTCACACGCGTCATGGCACTCACACACGTCATGGCACTCACACACGTCATGGCACTCACACGCGTCATGGCACTCACACACGTCATGGCACTCACACGCATCATGGCACTCACACACATCATGGCACTAACACACGTCATGGCACTCACACACAGTCATAGCACTCACACGGCATGGCACTCACAAAACATTAAGGTTCGTAAGGTTGCCAATGGACTCGGGAATGCTGCCAGTCAAGCTGTTGGTGAACAGTTTACTGTTAAGACAACGAAGGGCATGCACGCACGCATGGGGCGGGAATACGGTTAAGGCAAGAGCAGGTGGGTGGGCCTGCCAGCAGCTCGGGCCTGATGGGTGGGCAGGTGGGCTTGAAGCTACACTCGTTTTGACGCAAAAGAGGGTGGGATTATCAGAGATGGCTCGCGCCTGTGCATGTCCCTGTGCATGGAAGGACGTACAAGGCTGGTAGGCGCTCCGCATGGTACTGTTTATTACAGCAAGCAACACCAAGAGAGAATGAATAGGAGACAGCTAGTGAGCATATTCCGAGCTTCAATCCGAGGGAAAGCCCAAGAAAGCATGGCAGGCAGGCAGATACTCACAATTCACAAAGATTTATGAGGTTGGTGATGACCTCAGGAATGGTGCCGGTAAACCCGTTAGTGCCCATGTCACTGAAAATACCACAATGGGCATGCATGCATGCACGTGTCGAGAATCCGGATTAGTCAAGGACACATGGCTCAGCTGGAGGCTCGGATCAGCTTATGTAAAGACAATCCAAGCCGCCCATCTCCAACGTTCAGCTCATCCTCCGTCGAGCTGATCGCCGAATGGCAAGTGTCAGCCAATCAGAGGCCCAGAACCCGTCGACAAGCTGAACCGGGGTCCGGGCCCAGCCCGACCACGTCAAACCAAACTAGCACGTGAAGAGGAAAGCCCTCTCAGATATTCACAAGATCCTCCGGCTCATGACCGAGGAGGGGACAAACCTTTGTCACATGTGCAGTGCAGTGCAGCTACGCTTGTTGTGAGCCAGCTGGACCTGACTCAAAAGAGGGGAGGACCTACCTGAGTTGGACTAAGGCTTTCGTACCCCCCTGTGCACATCCCTATGCACACCCCTGTGCACACCCCTGCGCACACCCCTGTGCACACCCCTGTGCACACCCCTGTGCACACCCCTGCGCACACCCCTGTGCACACCCCTGTGCACACCCCTGTGCACACCCCTGCGCACACCCCTGTACACACCCCTGTGCACACCCCTGCGCACACCCCTGCGCACATCCCTGTGCACACCCCTGTGCACACCCCTGCCCACACCCTTGCGCACACCCCTGCGCACACCCCTATGCACACCCCTGTGCACGGAAGGAGGTACAGAGGCCGGCAGGCAGCCCTTACGGTAATGCATGGAGAGCAAGAGTAGAAGACAGCTAGAAAGCACATTCCAGTCGCACACAGCTCATGGCAGCACCAGCAGATCTCAAGGCATGAAGAGGTCGAATATGAAACAAAGGGCAAGAAAGCATGGCAGGTACTCACAAGTAGGAGAGGAGTGCGAGGTTGGTGATGGCCTCAGGAATGGTGCCGGTCAGCCTGTTGTTCCCCAGGTCGTTGAAAAGACAGCAAGCGGGCATGCACGCATGCATGTGTGGAAAATATGGATTAGGTAAGAGCAGGTGCCTCAGCAGACATCTAAAAACACACAGAGATTATGGCAGCACCTGCAGATCTCAAGGCATAGGGGGCTCCAATCTGAGACAAAACCCAAGAAAGCATGGCTTGATGGCACTCACAAGTGATTAAGCATTGCAAGCTTGGTGATGGACTCGGGAAATCCAGTCAGCTGGTTGGTAAACAGGTCTCTGAGAAGACAGCGAAGGTCATGCATGTGATGTGTGCAGCGGGCATACATGCATGTGAGTGTGTGGAAATTTTGGATTAGTCAAGAGCAGGTGGCCCAGCCGGCAGCTCGACTCGCTGCCTTGGGTCGTTAATGAGACGAACCAGGCCGTCCGTGACCCGTCTCCAACGCCGTCCCCAGTCGTGCGCAGGCGGCTCGAGAAGCAAAACCAGGTCGACCACACCACACCGAACTGTGCCATATGAAGGGACAAGCCCACTCAGCTCCGCAAGAGCTCCTGGCTTGGGACCAATTATGTCTGGCTGAGGGGGGCTTGGCTCGCCTCGTATGCAGCTGCTTTTCATCCTTTCGTGGCTGGCGTCGTCCTGTGGAGCCTTGCTAGCTGCTTTTTGCAGTAAGAACCACTTGCCAGCATACTCATGATAAACGCATTATCTTAATGTCCATTCATGGTGACCCAAGATTCAACGTTTGTTACACGCTGGAGGTGCGAGCTGGAAGGCACCCTTTATGGTAATGCACGATACAGCAACAGCGGGAGAGCACGAATAAGAGACAGCTGAAGAGCATATTGTTGTAACAACACACAGCAGCTCAGCTCGAGGCATCACATATAAATTTCAAGGCATGAAAAGCCTCAATCTGAGACAAAACCTAAAAAGGCATGGTAGGTACTCACAAGTGACTTAATTTTGCGAGGTTGCTGATGGACTCAGGAATGGGGCCAGTCAAGGTTGGTAAACGCCAGGGTACTGACAAAATTGCAAACGAAGAGCAGGCACGCATGCAAGCATGTGTCAAAACTCCAAATTAGTCAAGAGCTGGTGGTCCAGCCGGAAGCTTGCCTTCCTCGGCTTCCACTAGAGACAAGCCGAGCTGCCTGTTTCCAACTGTTCACCTCGTCCCTCCCACAGCCCCTCCATCATGGCGAGCCGGCTCGACAAGCCGCAAGAACCGGGCAATGAACGGCCCGGAACTCGTCGACAAGCCGAACCATGCCTAGCGGATCTTGAACGACCATTCATTTCGAACAGGGCCGCAATGCGGATCCTGAAGCGCGGGCGTTTCAAGATCGGCAGTGGTTCGATTTCAGTCTTACGGGTATAGTCTCAAGGTGAAGTTCCAACGCTGTTGTAGTGCTCAACCACTCCCTAAGCTTGAATACAACCTTGAACTTAAACCCTAACCCTAGCTGAATATATACATGACAAACAAGGAGGTCTAACTATCTATGCTGGGCGACAAACGGGTCCGATTTGTCGGACAAGACCCAATTTGTCGCAAATAGCTCAATTCGTCGGTATGACCCCACTTGTCGCAAATGACCCACCTTGTCGAAAAAAGGTCCAATTCGTTGAAAATGGCCCGAGTCTTCGCACATGGCCCGATTCATCGCAAATGGCATTACTCGTCGCAAATGGCCCGATTCGTCGCAAATGGTCATATTTGTCGCAAATGGCCCGATTCGTCGCAAATGTCCCGATTCGTCGCAAATGGCCCGATTCGTCGCAAATGGCCCGATTCGTCTCAATGGCCGGATTCGTCGCAAACTGATTCTTGGCAAACCGATTCGTCGCAAATGGCCCGATTCGAAATATCGCGCGGCAAACGGGCAATAAAATCATGTCCTCACTGCGTTGCGTTCCTCGCGTGCCGCACCAGGGCTTCAAGTTGAATGGCAATGGAGTCAGGAAGGGGGCCATTGAAGCTGTTGTACTCGACGTGCCTGGTGAGAGAACAAGCAAACACGCATGAATACGAGTAGATAGTATTGCATCATAACGTAGACTTTGCATGCGTATCATGAAGAGAAACAAGGCGAAGAGGAATGGACACTCGCAGCGCGCAGTAGAAGCGTCTCCTTGGGGGGCTTAGATCAAAGACTCGAAGCACGGAACGATAAAGAGAAAATTGAACGATACAGTTCCAACCGCACTTATGAATTTGATATTTCCAACGTGCGGACGAAGACGGCTGATGCTATGGCAACATTCACACTCTGGTCATCTCACGCGCCCTAAGTGGTTTCTCGTTCGCAAATCGGGATCGTGCCGCGGTTCGAACGACTTACACTGCACTGAGTTTTTTAAGAACCTTGAACGATATTCAACGTTTGCGCGAAGAAAACGCAAACATGCGCGCACACTAGTAACTTGTGTCAAATTATAATGCTGTCTAGGCTTTAGTGGGGTAGCCCATATGGGGTACACATTTCTAGGGTTGCATATTTGTATCACTTTCATTCCATAGTCATTTCATTCTACTTCTAATTTCCTCATGGTATCGAGCAGGTTCCCTCGTGGGAACTGTGCCTAGGGCCCACCACATCGAGTTTTTATTTTTCCTGCCCGAAGCGCGCTGAGCCCTAGTCGCGCTCCGGGCTCTCACTTCGTCGAGCCGCCCTAGCGGCCCCAACGCCCTAGCGGCCCCGCAGCCTGACGATTCGGCCCCGCTGCCCTTCGCTGCGGCCCCGCCGCCCTTCGCTGCGGCTCCGCTGCCCTTCGCTGCGGCCCCGCAGCCCTTCACTGCGGCCCCCCCGCCCTTCACTGCGGCCCCGCTGCCCGTCTCAGCGGCCCGCCGCCCTTTGCTGCAGCCCCGCCGCCCGTCTCAGCGGCCCCGCTGCCCTTCGCAGCGGCCCCACCGCCCTTCGCTGCGGCCAAGCCGCCTCACATTGCAGCCCTGCCGCCTCACACTGAGGCCCCGCCGCCCTTCGCTGCAGCCCCGCCGCCCGTCTCAGCGGCCCCGCCGCCCTTCGCTGCGGTCCCGCCGCCTCTCTCGCTGCGGCCCCACCGCCCTTCTCAGCGGCCCCGCCGCCCTTCTCTGCGGCCCCGCCGCCTCTCTCACTGCGGCCCCGCCGCCCTTCTCAGCGGCCCCGCCGCCCTTCACGGCGGCCCCGCCGCCCTTCACTCCGACCCCGCCGCCCCTCCCACTGCGGCCCCGCCACCTACCTTGCGGCCCCGCTGCCCTACCAGCGACCCTACCGCCCTACACCGCCTGCGCCGCCCGAGCCGCCCGAGCCGCCCGAGCCGCCTGAGCCGCAGAGGAGCCGAGCCGCCCGAGCAGCCCGAGCCGCCCAACCTGCCCGAGCCGCCCGAGCCGCCTGAGCCACTGAGGAGCCGAGCCGCCCGAGCCGCCCGACCCGCCCGAGCCGCCCGAGCCGCCTGAGGAGCCGAGCCACTGGTGCCGCGGAGCCGCAGTTGCTGCTAAGCCGTCCGAGCAGCCGTGTTGCCGTGTTGCTGTGCTACTGAGCTGCCCGAACCGCCCTGTCTGGTGAGAGCAGCGCTTCTGTCACTACACTGCCCCTGTCCTACAGTTGGTACTGCTAGTCTACTGTTGTCATGGCTACCCCTAGTGTCCTCGCGTTTGACGCTGAGGGTCGAGCCATTGACTTTGAGGTCTTGGTCGACGATATGCAGCTGTTCTTACAGTGCGATAGGGCAGACGGTCTCTCTCTCTTTGACCTCACCTCTGGCGCCTCTCCTGCCCCTGCTGCTGATGCTGACCCCACTGTTCGCTCCCAGTGGGCCACGCGCGATGCTGCTGCACGTCTTGCTGTGCGTCGCCACCTGCCTACCACTGAGCGCGCGCACTTTAGTCAGTACAAGAGTGCTCAGACCTTGTACGACGCTGTAGTTGCGCGCTACTCTTCCCCTGCCACTGCTGCACTGAGCCGCCTCATGCTACCGTACCTATTCCATGACCTTGCTGCCTTTCCCACAGTCGCTGACCTCATTACGCACCTCCGCACTAGTGATACTCGCTACCGCGCCGCGCTTCCTGCTGAGTTCTGCGCCAAGAACCCCCCCCCCATGTACATCACTCTCTATTATATAGTCACCCACCTCCCTGACTCCCTTCGTGTAGTCAGGGACCACTTCCTCTCAGTCTGTCCCACCACTCTCACTGTTGACCTCTTAGAGAAGGCCCTCCTAGCAGCGGAGAAGAGCATAGTCGCTGTAGGAGCCTCTCGTGGTGACCCTCGCACCCCCATCTTTGAGGGGTGTTCTCCTTCCCCCCTTTTGCCCTCTGTCGCCTCAGCCGCTGCGCCCGACCTCGTTGGTCTTGAGTCGGTCGGTGCGGCGTCTGCCCCTAGCGGGAGATGCCGCTCTGGCAAGGGCAAGGGGGGCAAGGGCGCGGGTGGAGCTAGCGGGGGCGGTGGAGGTGGCGGTGGAGGCGGCGGAGGGAGTGGGGGTGGCGGTGGGAGTGGTGGCGGGGGTGGAGGTGTCGGTGGCAGCAGTGGAGGCGGAGGCGGCGGAGGCGGCGGTGCTAGCGGAGGCGGCGGTGGTGGCGGAGGTGGAGGAGGCGCTGGTGGAGGAGGTGGCGAAGGTCGGGGTGGCGCTTCGCAGCGGAGCAGCCCTGGTGGTGGTCAGCGCCAGCAGCAGCAGCAGCAGCAGCGTTCTCGGGACATTCCCCCCCTCAGCAGCTCCGTAAGTGGTACGCGCAGCGTCAGCGTGGTGGGGGTTTTGGTCCATGCACCTACGTCCTTCGCTCCAACGACCGCGCGGGTGAGCAGTGTGGGGGTGCCCACCCCATCCAGCGCTGCTTTGGCCGCCTGGCGGACGCTTGGCGTCAGCAGTTCTCGGAGGCTAGTGAGATCCCCCGCTGGGGAGAGCTTTCTAGGGCAGGCGTAGCTATCTATGATCTTGAATATGATGCTATCCTTGCTGCCATGTATGCTGTGACTATTAGTGATGAGGGTGACTGTTACCGGTGTTTCCCGCCCAACCCGGGCATTGGTACTGCTACTCTAGGTGCTGGTGAGGCTGCTGCTCT